AGGAGCTTTATAAGGAGATTTTTTTCCAGCCAATGAAAATAACTTCTGCGGATTCTGCGGGCCAATGTTATAAAAAGTTTATAAGGAGCTTTATAAAGATGATCTCAATGAAGAGCTTTATAAGGAGCTTTGTAAGGAGGAGCTTTGTAAGGAGGTTTGTAAGGAGCTGTATAAAGAGCTTCATTGACAAGCTTTACAAAGTGCGTTTTTTAGGAGCTTTATAAGGAGCTTTTGATGGGTTTCCCCGAAATTGTTTTCCAGCCGGTTAAAAAAGCTTCTGCGGATTCTGTCCCGAAATCGTTTTCCAGCCGGTGAAAATAACTTCTGTGGATTCTGTCCCGGAAGTCGTTTTCCAGCCGGTGAAAATAACTTCTGCGGATTCTGTCCCGGAACTCGTTTTCCAGCCGGTGAAAAAAACTTCTGCGGATTCGGTCCCGGAACTCGTTTTCCAGCCGGTGAAAATAACTTCTGCGGATTCTGTCCCGAAATCGTTTTCCAGCCGGTGAAAATAGCTTCTGCGGATTCGGCCCCGGAACTCGTTTTCCAGCCGGTGAAATTAGCTTCTGCGGATTCTGCGGGCCAATGTTATAAAAAGCTTTATAAGGAGCCTTGGAAAGAAGATCTCCATGAAGAGCTTTATAAGGAGCTTTGTAAGGAGGAGCTTTGTAAGGAGGTTTGTAAGGAGCTGTATAAGGACAAGCTTTGTAAAGTGCTTTATAAGGAGCTTTTAATGGGTGTCCCCGAAATCGTTTTCCAGCCGGTGAAAATAACTTCTGCGGATTCTGTCCCGAAATCGTTTTCCAGCCGGTGAAAATAACTTCTGCGGATTCTGTCCCGGAACTCGTTTCCAGCCGGTGAAAATAACTTCTGCGGATTCGGTCCCGGAACTCGTTTTCCAGCCGGTGAAAATAACTTCTGCGGATTCTGCGACCCAATGTTATAAAAAGCTTTATAAGGAGCCTTGTAAAGATGATCTCAATGAAGAGCTTTATAAGGAGCTTTGTAAGGAGGAGCTTTGTAAGGAGGAGCTTTGTAAGGAAGATTGTGAGGAGCTTTACAAGGAGCTTAATTGACAAGCTTTATAAAGTGCTTTATAAGGAGCTTTATAAGGAGCTTTTTTTCTCCAGCCGGCGAAAATAACTTCTGCGGATTCTGCGGGCGAATGTTATAAAAAGTTTATAAGGAGCCTTATAAAGAAGATCTGAATGAAGAGCTTTATAAGGAGCTTTGTAAGGAGGAGCTTTGTAAGGAGGTTTGTAAGGAGCTGTATAAGGAGCTTCATTGACAAGCTTTACAAGGAGCTTTAAGCTTTTGATGGGTGTCCCCGAAATCGTTTTCCAGCCGGTGAAAATAACTTCTGCGGATTCTGTCCCGAAATCGATTTCCAGCCGGTGAGAATAACTTCTGCGGATTCTGTCCCGGAACTCGTTTTCCAGCCGGTGAAAATAATTCTGCGGATTCTGCGGGCCAATGTTATAAAAAGCTTTATAAGGAGCCTTGTAAAGAAGATCTCCATGAAGAGCTTTATAAGGAGCTTTGTAAGGAGGAGGTTTGTAAGGAGGTTTGTAAGGAGCTGTATGAGGAGCTTTGTAAGGAAGTTTGTGAGGAGCTTTATAAAGTGCTTTATAAGGAGCTTTATAAGGAGCTTTTTTTCTCCAGCCGGCGAAAATAACTTCTGCGGATTCTGCGGGCGAATGTTATAAAAAGTTTATAAGGAGCCTTATAAAGAAGATCTGAATGAAGAGCTTTATAAGGAGCTTTGTAAGGAGGCCGGTGAAAACAACTTCTGCGGATTCTGCGGGCCAATGCTATACAAAGCTTTATAAGGAGCCTTTTAATTAAAGAAGATCTCAATGAAGAGCTTTATAAGGAGCTTTGTAAGGAGGAGCTTTGTAAGGAGCTTTATAAGGAGCTTAATTGACAAGCCTTATAAAGTGCTTTGTAAGGAGCTTTATAAGGAGCTTTTGATGGGTGTCCCCGAAATCGTTTTCCAGCCGGTGAAAATAACTTCTGCGGATTCTGCGGGCCAATGTTATAAGAAAGCTTTATAAGAAGCCTTACACAGAAGATCTCAATGAAGAGCTTTATAAGGAGCTTTGTAAGGAGGAGCTTTGTAAGGAGGTTTGTAAGGAGCTGTATGAGGAGCTTAATTGACAAGCTGTATACAGTGCTTTGTAAGGAGCTTTATAAGGAGCTTTTGATGGGTGTCCCCGAAATCGTTTTCCAGCCGGTGAAACTTCTGCGGATTCTGTCCCCGAAATCGTTTTCCAGCCGGTGAAAACACTTCTGCGGATTTTGTCCTGGAACTCACGGGAGCCAAAATGGCTCTTGAATCGTTGCAGATGTGTGGCAATCCACTCTCCCATCCGAGACCTTGCCTTGACTTTTTTGGGGGGGGCCTTTGGAGGGGGGACCTTAGGCTTTGGTGACCAAAGGATCCTAATCGGATCAAAACCTACAGATTCCAAACCCAGCATGCCGAAAATGCTTCAAACTGGTCTGAAAATTGTTTTGCGCAAGCCCAAAAAATCATTTGGAGCCATTTGACGCCCTCAAAACCATTGTGCATAACACCGACCACTTTCCCTTTCGCTCGCCCTTACGCCCTCTTTCGCGACCACAGTGTGGCAACACCTTGTGTATCCACTAGGTCTCCCGTACACAAAGCCTAGTTCCGTCGATTTAGATCGACTCCCATTTGAAAACCACGCAAACATGTGTAGTTTGCGCAATGAAGGGGAGTCTGCGTTTGACTTTGTTTGCGGACCAAATTTCTGAACCCCCAAGAGCATAGACCTAGCGCCGCTAAATTTCACAATTCCAAGGGAACAGCCCCCTTTTCTAACTCCTCCCTGAAGACTACGGCAACCTTAAAACAGCCCAGACTTCCCGACGGCCATCGATTTAATTGAACAACAATCAATAAGCTCACGTCATATGGCTATTTTTTGCGGGTCTGTAGCACGCGACGCGCCACGAATCTTGTTACGGAGGTCTGTAACGGAGGTCCTTGTTACGCAGGTCTGTAACGGGAGGAAATTTCTTGACAAGTATCAGTATCAGTAGCACAACGTAGCGCAGAACAACGAGGAGCAGCAGCTCCCGCTCGACAGTCGCAACTCTTCCGTACAAACGCAGTACGCAAAGCACGCCTCCGCAGCTCCAGCTAGATATTTGCAACTGCCAAAAGCCAAGCGATGGCAAAAGTGGGGTCGCTGGCCCGGGCTGGGCTTGGTCTGTAACGAGGTATGTAACGGCTATGTAACGAGGTCTGCAACGAGGCAAGGCAGAGCGCAGTATGCAAAACGCGCCTCCGCAGCTCCAGCTTGATTGCAGCTATTCAACGCAAGCCAAGCGGCGGCAAAAAGGGGGGTCACAGGTTCGGGTTGCGGTTGGGTCTGTAACGAGGTATGCGACGGCTATGTGACGAGGTCTGTAACGAGGCAAAGCAAAGCATAGTACGCAAAGCGCTCCGCCGCATCTCCAGCAGCCAGCCGGCGGGCCCGGGCTGAAGATGGGTCTGCAACGAGGTATCAAGGGTATGTAACGGCTGTGTAACGAGGTCTGTAACCAGACAAATCAAAGCACAGTAGCAATAGCTGGACCTGTTCCAACTTCCCTCAAAAAAACACGGCGCCCTTTTTCGCACCCCGACACCTCCTAACCTCTGAAGCCTGCTACTCCAGAACCTTGCTGCCTCACACCAGAAATCCCTTGACTGCTCGAACCTGACTTGCTTGACCTTCCGGCCCCGATCCATCCCGAACCTGTCATCCCGAAACCTTGTTTGAACCTTGCACCTTCACCCCAGAACCTTACTGAACACCAGGAACCTCCGGAACCTTGAGCCTCTGGAAGCCTTAGACCTTACACCTGGCCTGACCAAACCTAGAACCTCCGGAACCTTTCTTGAGCCTTACACCTGGCCTGCACAAGACCCCCCCGGAACCTTTGGAACCTTGCTCAAACCTAACTCCACAGCTCCCCCGAGCCACCCCAAACCTTATCTGGGCTGAGACCCCTTAGCTTTCAGCCATTGAGGCAAAAAGGTTTGCGCTGTTTCCACTCCTTTGGCTTGAACAAGGCGACCATAGGCAACCAAACTGTTGTCCTTTGGGCAAACGGCCGCAGTGCATCGCACATTCGAAAAGCCCAGGGCAAATCCCGCCAGTTGTAAGCACAGAAAGAAGACGACATGGCCATGCAAGGCTAGCATAGCAATCCAGCGTGTATCTGCAGAACTCTCTTGTACTAGCTGTGGACGTGCTGCGCACCTCACATTGTTGCTTGTGCTGAAGCAAAAAGGTCAAACAAAAGGAAGGAGCTAATCATGCAGAGGACTCTGTCCAAAAATCAACACGTTCAAAGCAGACCACATGTCAATCCCTGCTGCAAATCCTCATGAAGACTTCTTGGCTCAACGCTGGGAGCCACGAGAGCGGCGGCTCTCTCTAGACGACCGAGAGACGAGCACTGCCAAAGGCCCTGGTTCGGTTAAATCCCAGGAGGCCTGTGTCTATAGTTCGTTTAAACATCTCTAACCACAAATAATGCGTTTGAGCATCCGCAGTCAGGTTCTGCTTTTCCCTTTCAAAGACCCCTTGGTCTTGCTGTTGAATCAGTTTCGCAACGACTTGAACTGCGACTCAAGCAAACATCGCTTGGACCCCTCAAATTTCCTTGAACAACCGGAGATTTAGATTTGGGCCCGCCCGGAGAGGAATCTTTCACCAGGGCGCCATTGACAGCATAGGACCCCCAAGAGACCAGGTGGTTGACTTGCAACTACAATTCAGCTACCTGGCAAGGGGACACCCTAAGAAGAACGTCATCACCGGTACGGTCGCAAACGCGCTTGAGGTCGCAATACTTTGCCCAAATAAGGTGGATCCTGAAGACGAGAGGACTTAAGTTGCAAGCCGATCCACAATACTGCATTATTGACATCACCTCGTCTGTGCTTTCGCTCACAGAGCAGCAGGGCAAGGCGGGGGCGGCACCAGCAGCCAGTCTGCTCACATTGCGCAATGTACCTCGGGCGACAACTGCATTGCGAGTTGTCAGGTTGAATGAAGGGCTAGCGGTTTGTGTCCCGCCCCTTCGAAGGAGGCGCCAATGTGACCAGCAAGGCCCCGACGTTTGGCCCGATTAGACCGATCAGTGATTCCAGTTCTCACAAAGTAGACTATTGGGTTGTCCGATTCTAGACTTCATGTTGTGGTCCAGCCTGGTTCCAAGCATAACAGAAACTGGAAGCACTTGGCAGGCCCTTGCGGGGCTGATGAGAGTTCTTCTTTGGGGGAGACCAAGCCTCGCTGCTAATTGCTAGATTCAAGCGTATGCAAATGTCTGATTGCTACAGGGCAAATGCTTGTTGTGCGCCATAAGCTTGCTTCGAAGCTGATGGGTCAAGTTACGCGGAAGGGGCCAGCCACGCTATGAGCATCCAGAGGTTGTGTTTGTGTGAAGCAGAACCTGCTCTTCCATCACGGGAACAACTCTCATCATTGGGTCAGTTGAAAGTGTTATTCACCGTGATGCGGCTCGGATTGAGGTAGAATCTGATTGCTTTTTATGGCAGCTAAGAAATGCGCCCTACATCAGCTGTGCAAGGATTGCGGAGCCTGAGTAATTAGTCCCTGATTATCCCGGGTATTGTTGTTCTTTGCATCTGGGGTGTTGCGAGGCGTGGGGGTTGGGGTTGTCTCAAGTTCTCTGGGTACAACACTTTCATCGTGGGAAATTACGCTCACGGTACTCTCCATTGCGACCGGCGGAGAAAGGCAAACAAACAAAAAGCAAACGCATCCAACAGGACTCTAGGCCCTATAGTAGGTCATATACGTTTGGGATGGGGCGTTGCACCCTCTTTCCTTGAGTGTTTCCTGTCCAACAAGCTGAAAAAGGCTCTTCTTTCAAGACAACTCTGCCATCCTACACCCTTCACGCATGCACGGTTGACAATCTCAGGGGCTCTTTGCGGCAGGCCACTACTCAGTGCGCAATGGCTATGGCAAAAAAAGAATCGGCAGGTTCGTTGAGTTTAAAGGGGAACCTTTCCCCAAAAAAAGGAAAAAAGGGCGCCACTGGGCAACTGGGTCTATGTAACCGAACCGGCCCCCTAAAGATCAACCCTTGTGACAAACCGGCAAGCGACCGACTCAAACGCTCAGTGACTCCGTGACTTCACTCAGTCGTGGGGAAGCATCAGAGCGCACTCCTGGAGCTTCTCGGAGGAAGAGCCGTTCATGGGCACGTGCTTGAAGTTTTGCATCACGAACCGGCGCCTGCGTTTGGTGCATTTCGACCGAAGGACATGAAAACGACAACGAAGGACGCGGACAGGCATGCCGAGGTCAACAGTTCCACAGGCAGCGGCGGCGTGCCCCGGCAAGGAAGGGTATCGTTCGTTGGGAGTTGGGCCTGACAAGTGCTGAACTCCTAAGATATGGCTCTATAGGTTCTGGAAACGTATGTGAGGTTCCATATGCCCAAATTGGCTTGTTCTCTTTTTTCCGAAAGCTTTAGCCGGATGGAAAGAGTCACTTCCCCTCATTCACCCAGCCCCAGGGGAGCTTCAGGAGCTGATGGCATCCACCCCAAAGTCTTGGATGCAAACAACAGCTCTGTTGTTCCGTTCAAAAGCTCAAAGCGACAGAACAAACTTAAATGTCCAGCCTTGAACTCAAAAGGTTCCATGTTCGGGAGATAACCATCTGTTGGCGTCGCGTAGTTGGCAAAGGGGAACTGAGTCAGTTTCAGGGACGAACCTGATCACAACACCGACCCGTCAAACCGCCTCCGAACCGGAAACCTCGCAGCCTGGAGGGCATCAGCTTCTCCAAGGCCGCCTTGGCCTTGGAGGGGTCCAGCTTCCACCTGAGGACTGCCCCAAGAAACCCGGTGAAAACCGAAGGCCAAGGGCCATAAACCGGGAAACCCAGACTGAGCCCTTCTGTGAAGCAGGCCTGTTGCTATGATTTGGTCCATTCTGGCCTTCGGATATTCACTTTATAGTGGCTACTTCCCACTCTCATGACTGCTTTGTTGAGGGGATTCCCTTGGCTCACCAACAGTTGAAACCTGAAGCTCTCTTCGCCACGACATTGATGCTAGAGTCGTGTCACTGACTTAATCTACTGGTGGATCCCAACGCCTCACTGCCACTTTTGGAGGTTAAAAAAGGGGTGTGGAAAGAGCTGGCCAGTGGATCATCTTTTGTTCCAGCATTTTCCAGTGGCGATGCCAAACATGCAAAGGGCTTCTTCCAAGCAGTGCTTCCAGTGATCCTGCGACTGACAAGCAAGCACGGGGGCAGCTGCATTCGCACTTGCACTAGCACGGAGTCCAAGTAAAACACCTTCCAACACATGGGTTTCCCTCCACTTTGTTGGCTTTCACGCTGATTCCACCGCAAAATGAGAGCTATCCAAACAAATACCTTATCATATCGCCCTTCCGCCAAGGTGCTTGGAGACGAAGAGCGCTATGACCTTCATGTCGAGTGGTGCCTGATACGACCGCCAAACGTCTGGCCATGTGCATTTATACTCACCCTCAAAACCAGTGGTTCCTTTTGGTTTCCCAGTAAACCAACCCCAAAAAGTATGCCCACAAGAAACCACACCATTTGCTGGTTTGCGGTAAAGGTGAAGCCTTCCAAACAACCAGCGATGGAAGCCACAGGGCGGCCAGCTGCCCGGAAGGGGGGGGTTCTCACCAACTTCATGGCTTCTTCACCAAACCCCGACCCAACCCCATGCTCTTTCTTTGAACATGGCTTGGAAAACCCCGACCCAACCCCAATTTGTCTTATCTTTTAAAAGAAACACGCTAAAGCGAGCTTGACTAGATCCTCCAGTAGAGAGGTTAGAATAAGGGTACCCTTAGTAGGGTACCCTCCCCAAAAAAGGGTAAAAGGACACTACTGGGGGACCTCGTCTTCGTCTCGTCCACACGCCCGCCCCGCCCCTTTGGTCCCAGCCGGCGCCGCCATCTTTGGCACCGCCGCGGCCAAGGGCACGGCGGGGAAGCCCGGGGCCTTGGCCTCTGCAGGCGCCGTGGCCTGGCGCCAGGAACTGGGGGACGTCTCTTAGAAACCGAGGCCAGGGAGCGTCCACTTTGGTTGTTGGAGATCTCAGGTTTGCAAGAACTGTCCAGACAGGAAATAGGAAAGAGGCTTGCAAGAAGTCCATGATTTTTTTGGAGGCCCAAGAAGTCCAAACAGGAAAGAAGCATTGGATCCTGAATGAGTGAACTCATTTATTCCGAGTGCCGTAGGGAGAAGAGATAGCACAAAGTTCCTGCTAACTTGTTTGGGTTTCACATCAAAAGTTCAGAGTTGGTCGATAAATCTGGGCTGTCCTCAAATGTCAGACTTCCACGTAGATCCGCCAAAGGAGCACTACGTACACGCAAAATAGCGTGTCCTCATCGGGTCTTCCCTTCGCGCCTCACCCATGAGGCTCGGATCCTGGCAAACGGCTGTGGGAAAACGCGCAGTCTGGGGGGTGCCTTCGTTTGAGGGATAGCTTTTGTGTTGCTTTGATGAGAATTAGAATGCAATTTTTGGAGGTATCACTGATTCTCACAAAGGAAGGCTTAAAAGTGCAACTCTGTTCCTAAAGCAGGGCACCCCAAGGACAATGGTGTCCATAGTCTCCCTGGACATCCACAGGTCGGGTAGTTTACACACAACTCTGAAATAAGCGCCAATAGGGACTGTCCTAACCTTCGCTTGTCATGGTTTTGATTGTGCCTCTACCGCGGAAAATGCCAAAACGCCTAATGACCATTGCCAGTCAAGGGTTCCCTGCTGTCATCCCTGGCCTGCATGCCGGTGGCAGCACGCGCCAACGCCTGCGTAACACTGGGGCTTTGGCAAGCGAAATATCTCCCGTGTCTGAACATATAATAACCTGCTATGTCTGTGAATTTCCCCTGGAAACAACCCCAAGCAAAAAGAGTACCGTCGAAAACTATGCTATGAGCACAAATAAGATTCATGGTTGGTGAGCAATCCAATCCTTGTTTTCCCATGAAAGCCTGTGCCGTTTGTCATCCCATTTGCCACAGTACTGTAGATGATGCTGCAAGTTAGCTGCCATTCGTAGCTCACCTTCTGATGGATTGGCCAAAGAAGACCAAATTTATTGTTCCGTTTAACGTCTACTCAAAATCCGTTAGCATTTTGTCTCGCAATGCATTCATCAGGATGCTTGACGTTCTAATATTCAGAAAACTGGGCAGACCATCCTGCCAAAATGGCCAGCATGGGCTTTGTGCACGAATCACCTAAACAGACTTAGAAGGTGCCGCCTTCTGGAGCCTGAACACATGGTTCCCCATGTTTATACATGCGCTCCATGAAAAAAATGTCTCGGTTTCCAAACCTGTAATCTCAGAACATTCAATTAGAATTATATAGGAAGAGAAATTCCAAACCAACAGATTCCCTGCCGCCCCCTGCCCGGGTATCACAGGGTGCCTCCAAAAACTGGCCTGAACGATATCCTCTGAATTGGGATTTGATTTCCTCAATTCCTGAGCGGGTTGGCCACAAAAAGTCCAAACTTTTGTGGCCACTAAAATGGGCTTTCCAAAAAGTTTTGGCATCAGGGAGTGAGTTTTTGTGCCCAAATGGGGGAGACCACGCTTTCCGCGATGTGAAATTGGGTCCGCGGGCCGCCACGGGACTGCCCCCGGGTGGCACCACCACAGGTGTGCCGCCAGGCACTAGGGCCCTGGCGCGGAAACCCTTCTCAAGGCGCCAGTCACCACTTCTCTTTAAAGCCAACAGGTTTGCAGTAGCAATCAGCTGCTATTGGAATAACCGTAAGCACCTAATCGGAAGACGGGCTTTATCCAATCTCAGGATAAGCCAGATGTTCAGCGGACCAATCTTTCAAAGATGGCCATCAAACCTCAGGACTCGTTCCAGGCTGTCGCAGTGTGGCAGCTTGGTGTGACACAACATGCTCCTTCAAAAGGAAAACAAAAGGAGACAAACACAGAAGATTGGACTGACAAATTCAACACTGCGATATTGGCTTCAAAGGAGGATCTGACTTGCAACCAGATCAGAGAATGATTGGAAGCCGGGCAGCTTAGCACCCTTTGGACCGCCCCTAGTTTAGCCAGTGTGAAAATCATTATTTGCGGACAGCCCCGCAACTAACGATTTTGCTCACCCTCTCTTTTCAAAACAGTGGTATTTATATGTCTCTTTTCAAACATGGCATGATCCCCGTTGAGGTCTGCAAGATGAGTCTTCAACCCTGCAAAATGTGAGTCCTTCTACTTCCCCAGTCACCAGACAATGCCATTTGCCTACAACAACATGCTTGCAATTCATGACCATATTCACCTAAAATGATGACGACAACGGTAGGGCTCAATTAAATGTTTCAAATGCAAGTTGGTCATTAGATCTGAGCTGAAAGCAGTTTTCCTTCTAGCAGTGTGGGCCTCAGGGGGCCAAACAAAGGCACTCATTTCTCTCATTTGCCGCCTGGTGCCTTTTTTTGCTCAAACTCGGCCGTGTTTGCCAGCCTGACCGTTTCTTATTTCGGTCATTTGCGTATGCGACCAGTATGAAACAAATGTGGTTTTATTTGGTCGCCATTCCACTAAAGCCAATCGTGAAACATGCCTCAAAATGCCCAGACTGGTTGAACTACTCGCCTCATCAGGCCGCCCAGGCTGCTTGCCTCCGGACTAGAGCACAACTTGAAGCATGTCGTTGGGGAAGGCTTCTTTGGCTGTGGAACGGGACATCAGAGGTAAACCAGCCATGGCACAACCCCTTCTAGAAAAAGGGTTCCCAGCGCATCAAACCATGTTGTCCAGTGCTGCCAGTGATTCAAGAGAAGGTTTCCCATTGATTGTTCACTATATTTCACTTCTCATGGTTTCCCCTAGTTAAACAACCTACTAGCCCGAGAAAAAAAGAAGAAAAAAAACGGGGGAAAAACAAACACATGGAGCATGCATGTGTGTGTGTGTGTTTCTGTGGGTGGGAATTTAGGGGGGTCCCGTTGAAGTGGTTTGATCGTGAGGTTTTTGGATTTTTTGCCATGGCCGGTGACAGGCGGATGCGGCTCTCGAACAGATTGAGCACAAACGAGTCACGGCATTCACCAGCCTGGGCCAAAAGGTCGCGACCTTTCCATTCACAGCCCAAGGGCCAAATGGATGGGATCCGGTCTTTCCACCCAACCCAACCCAACCCAACCTATTCATTTCACCTTGGCGCAGTTGAGCTGTCTGAAACTGCCCCCACTTCGTGCCTGGGAGTTCCCTGGCAATGGGGGGAAGTCCACTTCCTCCATGGCCGGAGGGTCAGGCCTCGGTTTTTGATCACGTGATCCCCCCACTTATCGAAGGGGTATGCCCCAGGTTGAGCCCGGAATTCAGCAGTTGCACCTTGATAAAAGGGGCCTGAAAAAGCAGGGAGGTATATTTATTAATGCTGAGTAACGCGACAACACAACAACAGCTGACAAACATATTTTTAGGATGATGGCTTTTTGCCGAAGAGTACACCCAGTGTGGAAAGCCAGTTTATCAAGTGCTTCAAGCACAATTTCACATGCCACGCATAGGAAGTAAGTGCAAATCAGCGCAACACATGCTAACCCGATTGGCACGCAACACGAAGCGTGCTCCAAAAGTATGGCTCAAAAGCCCTCGTGAAAGCGGCTCACCCGCCTTTGGGGGGTGAAGCTTCAGCCATGAAGAACAACTTTCATACTGGCAAACTGCAAATCTGAGAGGGACACGCAATCAATTGGACTAAACACATATCAGTCTTGCTTGCAAGATCCCAAAGAAGACATGTCTTCCGAGCGGCCCGGAAAGAGATGGCAGCGAGATCTGCATCCCCAACAGCCCGTTTAGCCCTCCTTAGGTTTTAGCTATCTGTGAACATGAGCCGCGCAATGTCCTGCTCGAAAATGCTCAGGATAAATCACCCAGCGACACAAATGATGACAACGGTGCAGTCAACTGCCCTGCTCTAAAACTCGTTCCGATGCCAAAAAGGCAAGGAGTAATGCTCACGAAGAAAACATGAAATGCATTTCCGACTTGGGCATACTGAGAAACTACTACCTGAAGACAGCATTTCGAGTACACCCGTGAACACCAACCCAGATTCCAACCCAGATTGCGGGATATCGTTGCAAATGCCCTTTCACCAGGGGGGCAGGTTGCCCCAGAGTGGGGCTCGGCTCTTGGGCAATTTGTCGGCAGTCAGATGGACTGAGAGTAGCTGATAGCAACGGTTGGCTTTGGCAGAAATCCGAGGAGCCGAATGATGTTTAATTGTGCTCCGTTAGAGAGTCTGCAAAATGGACCGCTTCAAAACAGGCCCTGGCACCTATATGTGACAATCTGACGCTGGCATCCAGAAAGGGTCTGTATCCAAAATCCTCGGCATGCTTCCCGAAATGGGTGACACAAACAAGCTGCTCATTCTTGTTGGAGCCAGCACAGAAAAAACAGAAAGCATGTCTTGGTGTCAGGCCCACATTGAACCTAACCTCCTAGTTTTACGTTCGAAGGGGATGTTTTTGAAAATCCTCGATGGAACTTGGCAAGTCGTGTACTCTTGAAAAGCCTTAACGCAGGGCTCCTGAATTGCAATACATGAGCCTCCAGGCCTTGCGACAAGCAACACGTGTAATGCTGGTCATCCAAACGGCTCACTGAATCTGGAGCTAAGTGCAGCACGCTCCGGCCTGCAAAGGCGCGCGTTTGCATCTCAGAAACCCATGCACTCTACATGGCCCGGTGGCAAGTCATGTCTGCTGGTAGGGAATATCATATTCGGGAAGCTCATATTTACCTACATTCAGTAACCCAAATGGAAGCCGCAAATTCCGTCCCAATGGGTTTAACTGGCACGGTCGCTGGCTTCGGGGCCATCCGGCACCACACTAACGGCAGTGGAACTGTAACTGGAATTCCAGCTTGGGAATAAGGATCCTGGAAACATCCGGCAGCCAGGGAAGAAAGCCGTGTCCGGGAAATATTCAAGAGAAAGTATATGCCAAGAGATGGGTGTGGCTCAAAATTTAACAGCTAGGGTTACGCAGGTGTTGGTCTTTGTTTCCATTTACCTCCATTTACCTAGGGGCCATTTTGAGTACATTTTTTGAGCCACAGCCAGATCATGGTCTAAGGAAGTTTAACAAGAACTTCCGTGGTACTGGAACTAATTGAGTTTTGGTGCCTCTTAGAACTGCATGTGTTGCGCGTGAAAAAGCGTACAAGGAGCCAGAAAACACGATAATTGGGGAATAGAAGCGGGCCGAAAACGTGGCGTCGTGCCGAACATGTGCTCTCCGGCAGGTGCGCAAGCCAGTTCAGTCGCGACGCGGTCTCGGAGTGGGTTCGGACCATGTTGGCAGGCGGACCTATTGGCACGGCCGTGCGCACTGTTTCGCGACCTTCAAAAAGTGAACCCGTAAAAAGTTGTGTCTTAACGATTTTCGCTGGGTTGCGTGGGTCGACCGGCTTTACTGGTACCCTAGAGAGCCATGTCAGAGGCAGTAAGTGAAGGGGGATGATCCAAGCAGCCGCCATGTAAAATAACCAGTTGCAAGGATGAATACTTGAAGTGCGACGGGTGGGCAAGCTAAAAAAAGCCGTTCATATTCTGTCGTGGGTGTTTTGGGCAACCCCCACACAAAGCCCACCACTACCCCAAACTGCCGGCCTCGCGTCTGTGCGCATCAATGACTTCGATGTCCAATCGCATCATGTCATTCTGCCACACTCCGTTCTTGAAGTAGTCCTCATGCACGCCATCACCCCTCGAGAGAGCCGCAACTCACGGTTACCTAGCGTCTCGATTGGCCCCTTTCCGGTGGCTGCGAGAGGGAAACCAGAACGAAACTGGCACCAGCTACTTTAGTTACATCCATGGCAACATGGCAAGACCTCACTTGTGCTTGCACGCGCTATGGGTCGTCACACACTGTACTGATTGCCAGCTTTTAGTTCAACTGTCAGAAAAGCCGCCTTACTTGCCCATTGCCCATGGGAAAGAGCCTTCATTTGAAAGCCAGTGCCCATGCGGAAAATGGATGCTGCTCACTTGCAAGGAACCCGATGGCAATAGTTGCTGTTTTGCGTTCCATAAACACAGGTCGCCCTTTTGCAATCCTCAAGGGATACTTGCAAACAAAAGCGGGGGGCCACAAAAGAACAGACACTTCCTGACGGGATTCCCACTGAAAAAGGGCCATAGCCACAAAGAAACACGCAATCCTTGGAAATTCTCAAGGGATAGCAACAAGAAGCACTCCAAAGGGGTAGTACTGGCCTTAAATTGCCGTCCTCAAAGGACAGGGTCGGGAGAAGCCGGTACATCTCCTTGAAGAGCTCTGCACCACCTGAGATCTCACGTGCACACTTGTGGCGCCCCAACGCCGCTCCCCGCAGAAAAGGCACTTGGGTTCGGAGGCTTTGGAGCACACCCTGGGGCTTTATGAAGAGAGGGGGTGGGGCAGTGGGGGCCGAGGGTGATTTTTGCATGGCGGCTTCGCCTGCTTCCCGAACGGAAGTGAGGCAGAATTCCTGTCGGCTTCTGGTGGAAGCCAGGCAGCCTGGATCCCTCTCAGAGCCCAGCTACCCCCCCCTTTTGAGTTGTTGCCATGGCCTGATGCGTCCGTTATTTTTCCCCGAACCCAAGGTCGCTGTGGCCGTGGACAAATAGGTAGCAGAGCAAATGCAGCCAGTGACCATAGGAACAAGGGCCTTCTTGTGTCTTTTGTATTTTCAAGGCAACCTCCCCACACTAAGACTGGCACCACTGGACAACGGAGATGTCCAGCCAAAGTCACGCTGGCTGACAGGCCATGCTGCTCAATGGAAACCTATCCAGACGATGATATATATATATATATGTATACATGCCTTGAAAGGGGATCCGAAGACTCCAGAACCAAACCCCATGTGTTTGTGTGGTCGTTGTTTTTGAGGAAACCCGAAAATGAGTGATATCCCTTTGGTTCCCCTTCGAAACAAACCAAAAAGACACACACACATATATATATATATATATATATATATATTCTAGCCTGCTATGCGTAAGGCCGCGGCTCTTGTCCTTCACCAGGTCCACGATTGAGGGTTCCTCTCGCGTGGCTCCGTGTGACCGCCTGGATGGTATAGGGACCCACCCCGAGAAAGTAATTTTAAGATCCCCTCCAAATCTGCACTTTGGGCCCAAGACGATGGCCTGCCTCGTACATGGCTGGCGCGGGGAAAAATCGGATCGGATCCTCGAGAATTCTGAGAAGTCAGCTGCCGTTTGCCGTCTCGGGTAAGCTTTCACTGTTCGGGGCTTTGTTTCTCAGTAGGGGCAGCCAGAAAGTTCGCAGCTATGGGCTGATTTTCTTGACGCATGGCAATGCTTTTCCATCTGAGCCAAAACGCCTGCAGGTTCCCCTTTGTTTCACTTCATGCTTGCGCCTTCCTTTGGGATGGGCGAGTGATTGCGTCTTTTGAGGCTGCCATCTTTGAGGGTTTGAAAGAAACCCAAAGGGATACCTCTTATAACGGACTCGGACAAAAACACCCGACTTGCACCCTCCAATGCCGCTCTGCGCTTGGGCCTTTGTTCAACGTCCTAAGCTTTCCGGCCTTCGGCTCCGGCGCGCTTCGGCGCGGGTACAAGGACACGCATTATCAGGGCCGGCAAGGCACCGTCCCCATAGCCCGATACATTGCACGACGGCTTCCAAATCGGACCCGCATCAGCAGCAGTTAACAAACATTCCGTGGAACAAAGGGGGAGTTCCTTCTGGAGGCAATACCAAAGGGATGGAATGCGTTGAGGGCTTCAGTGCTACCCCTTATTGAAAGGCCCTCAGTCAGGCGAAGCGGCTGCGAATTCGCTGCCAAGTCGTCAGACAACAAAATGCATCGCCACAGAAGCCGCCGCGTAATGCCGACAAACATAAAAGCATGCAGAGGAGGGCGCGTTTACTCCAAGTGACGCGCTCATCACAAGGCTCCTCTCTGAAAAGAGCCAAAGCCAACCTGCTTTGCCTCATGTAAGCGTGGTTCATCTTGAACTCCCCCTCATTGCATTCTGGGAAAAACGGGGAGATAACGGGTAATCCTTGGGATGGTGTCTGAAGGGCAAACCAAAAGAAGCTCAACCATTTGGGGGCTCTTTGCCGAGTCAATCTTGAGCATCAGAACTCTTCACAAAGAGCTGCTTGCATCTCTCTCTGTTCGCCTCAGCTCGTGCGTCACCCCGGACCAAAATGTGCGGATTCCCTTCGGCTTCCCCTTCTCCTTTGAGGGAACCCAAAGAAGAGGAAGCCGCGAAAACAGAGCACATGCAGATGTAAAACTGGGGCGGCAGCCACGACCAGCAGAACAATGGCCATGAACAGAAAGATGACGCCTACCTGGGAAGTTTCAGAAGGAAACGCTCCGCGGCGCCGCAAGGATGCAAGTGATCGCTTTCCATTGGCTTCGACCTGATCAAAAGGCAAATCCGCCGCTTGACTCTGCATTGTCCTCCGTTCACCAATGTTCCGCCGCAAATCGATTTGTCGGCTGCCTTCAAACTTGCCTCCCCGCTGCAAAGAACCAGCCGAAAGCCCGAAAAAGTGTCCCCAAACCAGAGATGCCCCTCAAATCAGAGTTCAGTCGGAGTCCTTCTTGTCCTTTGCCAGAGAGCCGCCTTCCAACCCTTAATTCACACGAAGACCATCCCCATCCGACCGCATTCCAGGGCCAGGGACGACGTCTGCTATGGGACTTTCGGAGATCAGAAGAATGATCCCCACCAAAGCCTCGGAAGCGGAATCGCGGAGTCGCTTTGGGAGGCAGCCTCAGCGGATGCTTTCGTGTTTGGAGCTAATCTGGTTTGGTTACGTATTGTTGTTGCCCCCCCCCCCATTTTTGTTTGCAACATATCCAAAAGCAGCAACCTGACACTGAAGGCGAACATGGGTGAAATCATTGAACATGGTAGGCACACGCATCGATTCAAGGACTATGACTATACCCCACCGACGCCCCAAAAGCATTTTGAAGACAGGACACCTTCCGCCTTCTAATTGAAAGGACCAATTCATGCAACAGGACAAGTGGCAACTAACACAAGCGCATAAAGGGGGGTCATTACAGAAGTGCTCTCACCAAGGTGTCGGTTGCAGACCTCGTAATCGTGTAGAAGCAAGCAAGCTCACAAGGAAGGACACCCGCACAAATTCGAAAGCTCCCAGTCCACCAAGCTCCAATTCCGTTGAGCGATTCCGCCTCAGCCCTGACAAGTCGCACCCAGCCAAAAAAGTCATGACCCACCTGCACAACGAAACAATATTCAGCACCAGTCCCCCTGTATCTGTTTTTTCATACAGTTCTTTTTGCCGAGATAACATAGCACGAGCCTCGTACATGTGCACTCTTCAGTCTGGGTATCTTTGAGAACGGAAGTCTTTTCACCGGGCCGACTAAATGCAATTGGTTGGTCTCAGCATCTTTTTACGGTTGCAGAGTTGTCGAGCAATTGTTGGGGACGAGTTGAGAGTTCACCATTTTCGACACCAACAAGAAGAACCTGCAGCTGGAGATTGAAGGAGTCCCCATTATCGACCCATGCCCAGCAGTTTGGAGATCCCCGTCCCCAACACAAAGAGCTTCGGTGATCCGATTGCCAGAACTCCCCCCTGACAGCCGTCTCATCGAGATCGGCGCGAGAAAGGTGCCAAGGCCTTAGGCCGCGCAATGGGTCAAGTGGCTACCATCTAGGCATTGCAAGAGAATCAATCGTGCGCAGCCTGTGGTCTTGTTGGATAGTGGTCAGTGCCAGGTTTCCTAAATGGGCAGGCAGCCATTGGTGAGCAGCGTTTCAGGCCGGGTGAAATATATCCAGCTGTATCGCCCATACCTGGTTACTCGAGCCTTGCTTTGGGCGCCCATGCTCAAGCGAGAAACGGTTGAACTCCACCTCGTGCGCAAATCGCTCTGTGACTGTCAGTGCTGATGTTGGTGATTCTGGATCCCTGGCTGGGGCGTGTGTAGCTTGAAGATAGGACTTTCAACCCGTGCCTCGTCAGCAACTCTGTCTTTGCCCAGCAGAATTTGTCGTAAGCAGTTGTAACTTGCCTTTGGTATCGGCCGATTAGCAGACCCCTTAGCGGCACATCTAGGCTTACTATTGCAGGTTCAATGGGAAACCGATTTCCCAGGCCAAGGGTCGCACCAAAAAGCAGACCTCTGAGGCCCCCCAAATCCTTCAAATGGGTGTTCTTCCATGAACTGCCCCGCAGAATGCAGTAGATACTTCACGCACATTTCACTTGAGCGGACTTTCGCAAAACGGGTCCCTTGCCTTTGCCTCCCACTAGAAGAATCTTCCCACCCAAAGGGCGAGGAAGCTCCCCCGCCCCCATTGCCGTACATGTGACGGTAGGTGTTCCCAGGCGGAAGTCCGAAGGTGAACCCTAAAGGCTTGGCAACAGCCCTTAATGAGTTATGATTCAAGCTGCTGGTACCAAACGTTGAAACTTGGCTCATAACCATGTAAAAAATCAAGAGGGCGGCCGCGGCAATTCTGGCTGGAACTGTCCCAAAAGCTTAATCTAGGTTTGGACTGTGGCTCAGAAGTGCAATGGAAACCTCGCCAATACCAAGCCAAATCTCCCTAAGAGTCTTGCCAAGAGTACCTTTTTCTGGGTTCCTTCTTTCCTGGAGAAACCAAAGCACAACCAGCAGTTGATACGTTCTCCTTTTGGAGACAAATACATCATAGCAGGGACCCTGCGATTCAACAGCAACAATGAACTTCATTGTAGATGGATGATTGTCAAAACGAAAATGAGCTCGACCCATGATGTTAAAAGGACACAGAAGCCACTTAGGGTCAGCTCCTAGTCTCGACGTGCAAAACATTGCACGGCTGCCCAGTGTCAAGATCGTGGTCAGGTGACTGGGAGCAGTTTTGCATGAAGCAGACTTGCGAATGGAAAACTGTCGCTTTGGTACACGGCCAAACTGTCTGTCCATTGCGGCTAGCAGGGTGGGACTACCCACTTGCTCAACAATGTTGAATTTATGGCTCGACAAATATAAACTCATGTATTTTATCTTGTATCGAGGTCTTTGGCAACTGGTTGTAAAAAAATAAATGCGACCAACCCCGGTATCCGTTATTCGGAATTCATCTGCGCTCCGATCCGGGTAAAATGCAAACCTTGCAATTGACCTGAATCCAATCGATGTTGCCGGAACCAAAACGAAAACCAACCGAAGCGGGTGTCGGGACGAAGCACGATGATAAAACGACTGGAGAGTAACAGTCTGAAGGGTCAACCAACTTGAATAGGGAGTCCGGGCAAACACATCAAGAACTGTTGGCGAGAAAAGCTAAACATCCTCTGCTCATAGGCTCATCCTGAAAGCCAACCAAAAAAACACTAGCCCTGGGAGGTCCATCAACCAAAATGGGGGGTTGAAAATGTGCTCTCCGCGAAATTCACTCATCCTGAAAGCCACCAAAGTGGGGCTTTAACATATTTCAAGGAAAAAATGTTTTTTTTTTTTGGAGAAGTCGGGGACCTCACTTCCTGTTTCTCCAAGGGGCAGTTCAGCAGGAAGCTGAAGCTCAGAGTGGTGCGGATCACCAGGCCAGCGCCGGGCTGGCCGATGAGTGGCTGCAATATTTGGCATGGAATTTCCTCCATTTACTTAAGTCCCCTGGAAAGGCATAAACACATGTCCAGTAGTGATAGGTACCCTTTAAAGCAGGAGAAAGAATATCAAACATTCTGAAGCAAATGGAATATGTTTAAAGAGAACCACCTGAAAAGTAGTGGGTGGACACGACTTGCTCAAATCTGCTGAGCTGATGATACTGAAACATCTTCGGGTTGCGGCATCCCTTCCTTGTCTCCTTGGCCCAAATCAACGAATTACTGCTGAGCAAGTGTCAGTTGTTGACACCATTCAAACCCAAGGCCCGCATGCTCTACCAATTCTTTGTGGGAAGCCACCAAACAACCCAGGAAAGAAGAAATGCTTGGAAATCAAGTAGCAAGTAGCAAAGGCAAAGCATTGGCTGAACAAGAACTTGTCCTGGTGATCAGCCAAGGGTTCTCGTGGGCAGAAACCACAGCGAGGATGATGCAAGTCTTTTGAAAGCAAAACTAAGTTAGAACCCCATCCCAAATCGCGTGCTCTGGAGTTGTCCGGCCTTCCAGGGCGTTGTGAGGGTGCAGCAATTTACCACCGACTTGCTGGGTAATGGGGTTCTAGCACCACT